GTTGTTTGCGTGCTTATCGATTTTCATTCCACCACACGCAGTCAACAAGAAGTGATGCTCACATCTTGATTACCACTCACCTGCGAGCAATTTAATTAACATAATTATTTAACAGACAAAAATCTTTTTGTGCGATAAAATTGAAGAAGATAGGCAAGATGGTATTTTGAAGACAGCTACAAATCCTTGGCCTTTACCCGCTAAGATTGCATTCGGTTTATTGTACACCCTTTTGACCAATTAGACTTGTTGGTATTTGTAGCGGTAACTGCGAGGTCTTAGCACTCTACAACTCACCACATTTGTTCCGGGTTTATATTAAACATTTTGGTTAGTGCGAAACGAAAAAAGGTACTGACATGTTTACAACTTGCCTCTTATCGAGGTGAGTTAGTAAAGCATTGATACGCATCAGTCCAGGGAATTCTGTTCTTTGTACGGAAGCTACAATCAGCGAACACACTGGCGAACAAATCAGACTGCACGCATCTCGTCTACGAGGGTGAATATCAAATAAAGGGGGAGCTAAAAGGACGTACCGAATTTTGACATGCTGTAAAATTTCCCCATGATTTGGACAAGAATTTGAGGCTATGCACGGGGGTTGTGGGAATTGTTAAGAGGCTGATTGGCACAGTCTAGTTTGCCATAGAAACACACAACTTAGGTACTTGAGAATTGTGACTGCGGCCTAGGCGCTAATCTAGCCTCACGCGATTGAGGAGAAATGAGTATATCAACTGATGAAATACAGTTGAATCACACAAGAATCAAACCACTACAGTGGGCCATGCGGACCAAATGCCACGGCTGCTCGTAACCCAAGCCAGACGCCCCACCCCAAATGTACTGGCACCAACTGCGAGCTGAGCGCCGCAAGGACATACCGCTCGTGGCATTCCGAATCCATACCTCGCGCAACAACGGACTGCACCCAAAACGCTCTTCATTGCCGTACCACTGGATAGCGGACAATGACTCATCCCACCAGCTGGGCCTCGCCGAGACTACCTTACACAAAACCACGGCGTGGCGACAAAAATCAATGCATTCCGAGTACACGCAAACAGTTTAAGACAACGAGCTTCTCGTAATGGGCTTTCTTTATTTATGTTGTGTGTTTGGTGGGTGCACTTTGGAAAGAGTCCCTCAGAGAAGAAAAGGATGAGGCAAGGTACATTACAGCCATAGGCAGGTAGAGAGTACATAAGGAGGTAGTAGTAAAAATTTTGTGTATACGTACGTGAGCATAGACAAGCATTTTATGAAAAGAGAAGGACGGAAGCCATTCCACTGGCCCCCTCACAAAACCACGTTCACGGTACAAAGACTTTGGTACTAGTGCATATATAAATACCCAAGGATTCCATCATTTCCGCATGTAAACATATTCGGCTTTGTATAAGGTAAGGGCAGTTGTAGGGAGAAAGGGGTAAAATTACACCAGTCAAGGGAATGGGGAGAAGTGGATGTAATGTGGTGTATGAAAAGCAAGAGGTCAAGGAGCGCACAAAAGAGATCAGGCCTAGATTGCGCGCCCGCCGGAATTCCCTGTACCGTTGACAGTAGCCAGCTTCTTCGGGCTGGCTGCTGTGCCCCCACGATTACCAGCACCGTTTTGTTTCATGCAAACTCCAGCAGAAGCAGCATTGTGATCAACCTGAGCTCCCATGAGGTTCTCAGCAGACAGAATCAGACCTTGTTTCATCGGTGCCAATGGAATATTTCCTGGGTAGACGTCAAGAATGATGGGCTACAAAAGATAAGGAGAAAAAAAAATTACCAAAGGCCTGTCGTGCCTGTAAACTTGGGTTAGCAAATACATTGGCAATGTATGAGCCTCTTTTGAGTTTTTAGGTGAAGAAAGACGATCTCTTGACAGTGTGTTACGAAAGGCAGATTGAGGAGTGCCACAAAGATTCAGGAAAAAAGACCACATGCAGATCTGTTTCCCACCTGGCAACCCTAAACTCCAAATCTTTATGGCACCACCTTTTTACTCAAATCGATTGTAAAAGCCTCTGAGCACAATTACCTGGGGAGTGGGGGTGCCATAAAGGTGTGGAGTTTGGGAACCCTGTTGGGAGGTCTGACCTGCGGAATTGGTGTGGGTCGTCGAAAAGAGTTTCTGTGAGATAAGTTGCTGTGTCGGCGGTGGTACCAGATGGTTGTTTGCGATGGCGGGACTTGAAGCAGCGGCTATTCCTCCCTCGAACACAGCAGGGGTGTACACATTCGCAAGTGTTGACGACGATGTCTGTGGATGCTGAATCGGTTGTTGTGGACTCATAATGCCGTCACAATGAAAAATACCTGGCTGTAAGGTGAGATAAGCAAGGGAGAGAAAGAGAGGCCAAATCTGTAAGCAAAGACCACAACCGAAAGAAGCACAACTTGACGACGACACAAAAGTGGAGAAAGAGAATCAAAGCGGTAACCCAGCAAAGAATACGGAATCAGTAATAGTTGGAAAAAAACTCGCGAACAGTACTCATGCCACGACACAAGCAATTTCAAACGGAACTCAGCTACAGCAGCAGAAACTCAAACTCGAATACAAGTGGTTGTGGCTGGTTTGTTTCAACTATCCTACCTCTACCGTTTCCAAAAGGCCCGAGGAATGGGCACTGTGGTCAGTGCTATAGTCGCTTGTCGTGGTGGCATTTGACGCAAACGTCGCCTGGGTAGGCAGGAATACCAGCTGTTGTGGTGGTTGGTGCAAATCATGGTGGATCTATCAACCAAACACAGAAAACGGATCAGATTTCGACAACTCAGTGGCATCACTCATTTTTCTTATTCAATCACATGAGGCGAATGCAATAGCAGCGGCGGTGGGGCAAAGCGGGAAAGAGGATAGTCTCGGGGATGTACAAATACATAGGCAAGGGTGCTTATTCATCAGTCTTTAAGCGGGGTCGTTTGGCAGGACGCGCTTCATCCGTGCTAGTGTCTCCGGAGGCCTGGCAGTTGGCCGTCAGTGCAGCCGCAAAACTGGCGACCACTGCTGGGTCCAGGCGGAAAGACTCTGTCGTCGATGTTGGAGGTGCTGGTGGTGGTGGTGGTTGCTGGTAAAACCACGAGAGGTTCTCGTAAAGACCCGTACTCACCTGTTGTGGCTGTTGCTGCTGGCCGGTGGATCCATTTGTAGAAGTCGATGCCGAGGGCGGCATCACAGCGCCGCCGTTCTGCTGCGGCGCAGGCCACCTCCAAGCCGCGGCAGCGAGTTGTTGCTGCGCGGCGACCGCAGCCGCCAGAGCCGCGACCTGGGGCGACTGGGCGTCGAGCACACCGCCCAGCGCGGCCGACGAGTGCTGGCTGACAGACACCGACGGCGTTGGGGTTAGTTGTGGCGGGGCCGGGAGGGCGGGGGACGACTGGTGTCCGTTCGCGGTGGTGTTGGTGGCGTTCGACCACTGCGAAGCAGCCGCAACAGCGGCCGCCGCAGCCGCCATGACGGCAGCTGGAGACGTCTGACCTCCAGCGGTGGCAGCGGCAAGCGGCCCTACAATGGAGGAGAAGGGGGGAAAAGCGTGTTTCGTCAGAGCCTGCGGGGGCTTCGGAGGAGGAGGAGAAGCGAGAAGCTCACCCGTGAGCGAGGCCTGCTGGTACTGCTGGTGGTGCTGCAAAGTGGCAAAAGCAGCGGCGGTAGCGGCATTCGGCTGGGCTGCAGCAGCGGCAGCAGCAGCCGCCAAGTGCGACTGGAGAGCCGCCGAGTACTGGGCGGCGGCCGCCGCGTGATTGGCCTGCGGCGAAAGGTACACTGCGCCGTTGGCCTGTTGCAGCAACATCTGCTGGTAAGCTGACCCGGGCTGCAAGGAAAAAAACACAAGATAAAAGGTTAAACCAGCTGCAGCGGTGGCCTGCACACACGCGGAATCCCTTCAGGCATTCACCTGCGCGAGTAGACCAGAGTAATCCTGGCCGGTCAGCGGAAAGACCGGCAAACCGCTCTGAAAGCCGCAGGGAATCGCGCCGCCGGCAAAGAAGAGAGCTGGTGGGACGTCGGCTGGAAAGAAAATAAAACGCAAATGACGGTGGCGGTGGTGGTGGAGGCGTAAGAGGGAACGGGTAACAAAATGCGAAGCAGGAAACAAGCGAGTTGGGACTCTCACGCAGTCTCAGATGTTGTTTTGGTGCGTGTGTGTGCGTGGGTGAAAACATGCTCAACCAACATACCTGGACGTGGAAAGAGCTGCTGCAAACCAAAACACAAAGAAGGAACGATGCATTCAAAACAGTGAAGGCATGCAGTGTAACGGTAAAAAAAGACAAAAATCAATCACCCGCCACCCCCCGGCACGCACCTGCTTGCGAATGGCGTGTCCGATGTTCAGTTTTCGGTCTTTAAAAATTAGCGTTTCGGATTCGTTTTTAATTATCTTCTCGGCCACTTCTTGACTCTCAAAAGTGACAAAACCGTAGCTTCTGGAAAGCGAGGGAAATCAGCAAGTGGATCAGCCTACCCCTTGGAGACGCCGAGTCTGTCGTTGATGATCTTTACGTCCTTTACTTGGCCAAAACTAGAGAAATATGTCTTGAGTTCCTGTTCGGTGGTCTAGGGAAGGTAAAAAAGGTAAGCCGGTTGCCTACATTCGAGGGGATTCCGCCAACAAAGATGCGGTTTGGAATGAGAGTGCCAAATTTCGGCGCATTAGAGGAGCCCCCGAGAAGGGCCTGTCCTGCATTCGGAATTGGAACGCCTTCGGGATCCACGTATCGCGTTGTAAAATCGGACGGCTGAACGTTAACGCTGGTCTGTACGGATGGAAAATAAAAATTAGGTAAAAGTGACATAATTTGCACATTTTTTTGTGCCAATCGTCTTAAATGACCGGTTTAATGAAAGATAACAAATACAACAGATGTAAGTTTGAATTTCGTGATATTCGCAAGCAAAACTTCAATTTATATAAATCCATGTAAAAAATGCCAGAAAAGATGTTTATGGACACAAAAAATATCCATAAGAAGTGTAAAAAGTGGTCATATGGGAACTTTCAAACTTGGGCAAATTTTAAAGACAAGAAAGACGAATCGTGAAAGTAGAAAAGTGCCAGCACCAAAATCAAGTCTACCTGGACATTATCAGCCGCACAGCTGTGTATCAATGAGAGCAAAAATGAGAGCAGAACGCCATTCTGACTCACCATGGCAAGAAAGAAAGACTTAGCGGCGCGGCAGCGCAAGCAACTCGGAAAGCACAGTGGACGCGAAAATAGTGTTGAGGTTTGCAAATTGCGCCTTATTGCTAATGGTTGCGTGCTAATCGATTGGGAGAAGCCTGAACTCGCCAATCAGCGCAAAGTTGGTGGCGTATCGCAGTTGGCTGGATTGCGTTTGCACGACCGCAGTGGGCAACCAATCAGCCAACAGCGCGCGATTCCATTGTACACATAACGTAATGTGACACTTGAGCTCAATTAGTTAGCAGTAATTTGTTAATTTGGTGTCAATTTATTTGGTTTCCAAGTTTGGTGGACAATTCTCACCGCTTCATTATAAAGCTGGTTACTCATTTTCAAAGAGGGTTGTGGAAAAATACCGTATTAACCCGATTTACGTTAAGTAGAAGAAAGCAAACTCTCCGATATAATTTGCTGAAGTGTCGATGTAAATTACACTTTCTGCGTGAGTTAAGCTGAATCAGTAAAAAAAGAAGCTGATTTTTAAGTGTCCACCTTTGAGGCGCATGTAAAATATTTAGCTAGGATTAAACAAAGTAGGTTCGCGAAACCAGCAATTTTATAAAAAGAATCGGGTTAATGGAAATTGTCTCAAATAAGTGGTGATTAAGCCACAATTCTTTCCTAGAAGTAGATGTTTATACACTTTAATGAATTGTTAGAAATGACTTTTTTTTTAAATTATAGTTGTACAACAAAGAATCTCCTACTAAATGCAGCAGACTCCGAAACCTTCATTCAAATAGATCTAATTAGGGCTTTCTCTGGTCTGAAGTGAATTGTTGAAGAGCTAATTTTTTTTAACCTAAGCACTTTCTTTAGGAAAAATAACGATCAAGACAGACAGACAGAGCTTGGCTAAAATAGATTTAAATCAGCAGTGGACTTCACTGGCCCACTCAACAGTTCCCACGTAGTCCATTTTTTTTTATATTAATTTCCAACTATTAGCGATGGTATGAGTTTGTTTGCTAGAATCATCTTCTTCGAAGCTTAAACTTGTACTAATTTAGCACAAATGAGACAAGTCAACGTTTTAGGGCATCTGCATTTACAATACCACTTGCTCTGCGCGGTCTGTCTTCGATCAACGCAAAATGTATAATTTACATGAAAATTAAATAATGGAATAATTTGTTAAATTTAAAAACGATAATATCGTCATTTGTGAATCACTCTGTGCAGGCCGCCTTACGCTTCTTGGAGAGTATAGACACCAGATCACTCGGTAGTTGCCCTGACAAATAATTTCTTACCCAAGGATTATTTTTTGGTAAAATTAACTGTACACCTTAGCTAAAGAATGCTTTGATCCATGGCATTTTAGCTTGCAAAGTTTGTCAATAGGATGTGACACATCTGCAGGTTATAATCCACATGTTGCATGTGTTCATTAACGTTTTTACATTAAGCGTATTTATTCTTATGCTAAATATCTCAAGAATAGATAAGTAACAATAAAGAAATTATCACAGTTGCTTTGTTCGTAACATTCACCAGGTCATTTCATGTCCCACGAATTAGTTGTCGAACAATAATTCAACCAAGCTTCTGGAATGCCAATAAATATTTTTTCACGTAGCGTCATAAAATTCCACTGGTACGACACTGATTCACAGTAATAATCCTACACATTTTCATAGCAAATACATTTCCCGAGATCTGCGCGAATCAAAACTCTCTCCCATAACCGATTTTGGAATGCCATTGATGCGTGATTAATGATGAAGCTTGTACAAAATGTCTGGTTTTATTGATAATCGAACCGACGAAAAATGCCAGTTGTTAATTAAAATGCTTAGGTTATCTCAGTCTGGTATTAACTCTGCAAACATGGCCTGAAGTGCACAAATGATGACGTGAATTTGCCACATGGTTATCGATTTTGTGTGCATTTCGACCCCCCACCTGCAAGTGCTGCCCACGTGGCATTCGAAACAAGGCGGCAGATGAGTTGTAATCAGTTCAAACAGTTTAATTTTATTCGGCTGATTAAGTTGACATTAATTAAGTTTTCCGATGGAAAAGAAGAAGACTAACGTCGATGAAAGCAATAACTGCGCTTTGTAGTCAGAGACCAATCTTTAATGAATGATCATTTCAATGGCGATAGTTCCATTAATGTGGGAATGAAACTGAGAAAATCGTCTTCCACCTAACCATGAAAAGTGTGCTGTAGTCAATTGTAAGGCCTCTTGCCGAGTCATGGCGACAATGTCTGGTAATTTCAAAGTTCACAACTGAATGAATGTCAAGTGATACAGCTTGACATAACAAATGAATCTATGATTCTGTGGTCAAGAAAGCTTAGCTTATTTTCGGGAGAACAAGCAGAGCTACAGATTGAAACTGTAAATCGCATTTGCCAAGGCAAAAGACCCTAGGAATAAGAAGTTAAAAGCTGCGCCGTTTCAATGTTCAATTTGTGTAATTAGTTCTGTTGTTTTTCGAAAAAAATAAAATACAAGTACACGGTTTCCCTGCGTGTAGAATTGCGTGCATAGGGACAAGGTGTAGCATTTGGCAATTGTCATTGCGTGAGTTAATAAAAAAATCTAATTACGTATTATTGATTCGAATTTTTCATGGACAGGTGAGTCTTTTTTAAAAAAATTCAATCAATTAATTTGTAGCCATGTTTAAAATCGATCATTGTCGAAAGTTCGACTTAAGCAACGCTGGTTAAAATAAGTTAATTACATTTAGTCGAGCGAAAACTCGGTCAATTTACGTCTGCAGAACATCCTCTTAACTTCCTTTCTAAGTCATTCGTTTGAGTCATAATTTAAAGCGGATAGAATAAAAACCGATGCATTTGGGCAAACTCATTTTTGATAAGTTAGAAAAATCCTTTGAAGCAAAGTGGCAAACCGATGGTTCAAAGGATATTTACCTCAAATTTTTGCCTCCTTTGTAATTTTCCAAACAAAGCGTGTCAAATTCTGGCAGATTAACGCATAGAGAAGATTTTACAGCCAGAAACGCATGTTGCTTTCAAATAAACTAATTGTCAAGGCGAAATAAAAAATGACGGCAATTAAAACTTGGGATGAACAGGTCGGGACAATCCGAGACCCCTATTAGAACTTGTACATTTAAGGAGACGGCTGACTAATTTATACTTTGCAATAAACCAAAAAACAGACGCATTTTTTATATAAAAAAATTGAATCCGAATCATTCTGCTTAAACAAGCTGCCTACATTGTTCTGCCAAGATCAAATTGACATATTCTGACACTTTGCCTAAATGCCAATCATAGTTTGGGCTGCTTTTGCATCGCTAACTGTTATTGTTTTACATTTTATTTTCTAAAAACTGCTCATTTGAAGTCTTAAGGTTGATCGTGGTTTAGGTGGCTGGTTAATAGGGCTTTAATCAAATGGACGAAGCTTACTAAGTCATTAGAACAGGTCGCAAATGTCACAATCTGGGCTACAAATGAATCCATGGGCCAATATTATTTTTGAGAGACTGTGACGAAATTATGAAACATTAATTAACGTTAATTTGTACTTGTTTTGCTCGCCAAATAGTCGATTGTCTCAGTCTGGTATTTGGAGCAAGTTATATCAAGCAGGTGTGCTACTTTAGCCCAAATTTAATTATGGTAAGTGAGTTTAAACTTACTCATTTTGCTTCATTTTGGCTGTCAGATGTTATAAAAAATTGCAGTGATGAATAAAAAATTGGTTATTAAAAAGTAAAGTATATAAATTTTTTAATTTAGCGTTTCGAAATTTTAAATGTATGTTGGTTGCTCTTCTAAGGTTTAGTCCAGTGCACATTTACTGCTAAACTGTTTGTTCTTTTATACATTAATGCACAAACACCTTCCGTAACATAGCAGCCCTGAATTATCCGCTGGTAATTGTCTTTTCTTCGGATGGTGTACAAACAGTTCATTTTGGTATGTGGGTTATGTTCGAAAAAACTGCCGCTGCAGAGTCATTTGTCAGATATTCCAAGTGAAGATGCAATGCATTCTGCCTTGCGGGAAAAAGGCTTGCCCTTTTTACTAGTTGTGTCTTTGCTGAACATGTTACGTATTCTCGACGTATTCTCACGTATTCTCGACGTATGGGCATAGCGATAGGCCACGCATCGCATATGCTTAATTTAAACAAAATGAACGCCCTTTTTGTGCTATACTTTTGAATTGCTATGTTATTCAAAGGTGTCCTAAAAAATGTCACATCAAATCAACGTACTCGGCTTGATAATGGACGTTACAATATTTACAATGAATTATTTCGTGTGGGAGCAATTTTAAAGTCTATAGAGTCTAAATAATCCTTGGTTTGAGTTCTTCTAGAACATGCGGAAGTGATGGCTTCGAATCGGTAATCTCACTGCACCTCATTCGTTAAAAAAAGCTGAACCAATTGTGGATGGATTTTCTTCAGAAGTCCAAACATTTTTACTTGCTTACTTTGCTAAATTTGGTGAGCTGTCCAAATCCTGGCTGCCAAATTTGTGTTTTAACGATATTGTGTGATGAAATGATGCCACCTACGTCTGCTTCTCATGGATAGCACTTTTTTCAAAAGTTCAGGGGATCTGGAGAAGCAACCATTCAGGCAGGCACGAATCTCATGACCTCAAAGTATT